CATTGCAGTCAAGTTCAAATGCTCAGCACGGAGCACCATTTATCACACAATGCACACTGCAGTCTGTAACGACCAGTCCTTGTACCTGAAATGAATTAGGTTATAGCTCAATGCTTGTCACTGCTCATTTTGATTTGTCTGGGGCAGAATATTATAATACCCACACTTACATAATAAACACATTTAGGAAGAGTTATTACTGACTATGTCAACTGAGTATAGGTCAGATACAGTATATACATTTTCAGCAGGATCTACCTCCGTATTTGGTGCTGTCAGGAAAATTGAGACGGTACAGTGTGAATAGCAAGCGTGGCTCTTTGGGGAACAAAATGCAATTTAGAGAGCAATGTTTCCAAGCAAGTCAGTGGGTGTCAAATAAATAACGCTCATTAAGTATGAGCACATGTGGAGTCTCACATTCTTAACGTTACATAAATAAATGAGTCAGACAAGTGCCATGGATTTATATCTTTCCCGCCTGGTTCAATTTCTTTGTGAAACCAGTCCCTAAGTCAGCTGCAGAAGGAGGGATTAGTTAAAATACAGCATTGCCTTTTTGTTTTCCCCGATGAGGGCAGTCATGATGGATTTTCCTGGTATACTAATCTGAAACAGAGAACACAGTCGAAGACCCTGACAGATGATGAGGAGAAAGTTGATGATTATGAAGATGCTATCAGCGTAGACTAAGGTACCGCCGTCATCAGGTCTTTCAGCAGAAATATCTGTATTGGCACGGATTTACCCAGCTGCTGTGACAGATAAGGACATGGACATGACAGATTTCAGATACAGTTTTACTCAAGGTAAAGAGGAGAATGTTTTTTTAGTAAGAGGCAAGAAGCTGTTTCTCTCCAGTGTCTAAGAGAAGTAAACATCTCATGACCGAGACCTTCTGTCAGTCATATGAGACAATGTCACCTGTAGACAGCAGGTGACCATTCACTGGCTGTTTACCCACATCTAAAGGACAAAGACAGTCTTCTTTTCTGTCAGACAGCGAGCTTTTGTTAGCTTTGTATACAAATCACATAAAAGAAATTCATTATTTCAGTTCCCCTCTTTATTAGATTGGTAATATTATGATCCATTCATAAATAAAAGTGCCTGCACTTAGTCAAATGACAATAATCCCATTTCAGGTCGGCTAACCTAGAGTTCCTGCGGAATAAGCAGCTGCCGCGGACGATGTCACTTAATGGTGCTGCTTGGGACATCCTGCATTTTTAGTGGCCGTTGCATGCTAAGCACCTGAAAACGAACACGGGACACAGGAGATGGGAACACGCCACACGATTGGCAGAAAGATTCAAGGCTGCTGCAAAAAGGATGGCATGACATTTTGTAATGTTGTCCAACTGGGCCCATAATAAAGTGGATTTATGTGCCTTTTCCATCCATAAATCTTCCAACCACTTACCCAGCACTGGATTATGGTGAAGCCTGGAGCTTATCCCAGGATGCACAGAACACCAGACAGGGAATACCCTGGATGCCGTTCCAGTCCATCTTACTTGCCTCCATCTTCCTTTAATTCAACCCACAACACTAACAGACATGGTTGAATATGCCATTAAATGCCTTTTAAAGTCAATAATATGAATCATAAAGGAGACAAATCGATGTGTGAACAACAGGAACATCCAAGCAATCATGAGAATGGCCCTATTGTTAACAATTCTGCAAATGCCCTCCAGGGGGCACTTTCGTGGAGCGCCTTTAACCACTGGCTCTTTCCACCACAGCATGCTAAGTGCTACTGAGCATGATTCTTCCTTCTGCCATTAGGCAGTGGAACACGCCCCCCCTCACCCCTAACCATAACACATGCCAGGACAGCCCCCCCCCCCAACCATAACACCAGGACAGCATTTACAGACAGACACCTGTAGGGCTGTGAACCTCACATGTACAACCTTTGTCAATTCATATATTTTTTTTAATTATAAATTTTCACAACCTTGTTTTCACACTAATCTTGTCACTTTTCTGTATACTTTATGCTCCTCTGTTGCTCTCTATGCACCCACATTTTCCCTTTGGATAAAGAAAACCTATCTTATGTTGATTTGTTCATCCATCAATCTACCCATCTACATCAATGAGCGATTAACATCAGTGCTTGAAGTAGGCTGGTACTCCCCGGGTCTCAATACCAGCACCTCTTTTGGTTCTCTCTTCAGAGAACCGGCACCACTCAATATCTGCTAGTACTGAACAGCAAGGGGAGTGCCGGCACCCAATACTGAACAGCAAGGGGAGTGCCGGTGTTCTGACGAGTTGAGCTACCTATCGAAACGTGCTATCGAGCCTTTCGGGGCATGTGCAGTTCCACCGTCTTGGAATTAGGGTTAGGTTTTAGGGGTTAGGGTTAGGGTTAAGGTAAGGGTTTTAGGGTTTTTTGGGTGGTTAGGGTTAGGGTTAGGGTAAGGGTTAGGGTTAGGGTTATCGATTAGCACTACGGTAGCCTAACTCGACAAAGTAGCTCAACTCGACAGAACACCGGCACCCGGTACTGAATAGCAAGGCGAGTTCTGGCACCTGTTACCAAATACCGCGGTCTAGTGCCAGTACCCAGTATTGAGATAGAAGGCGAGTTCCGGCATCTGGTACTGAATAGCAAGGTAAGTTCCAGCACCTGTTATCAAATAACATAGTCGAGTGCCGGCACCCAGTTCTCAATAGCAAAGGGAGTTCTAGCACCCAGTTCCGAATAGCAAAGGGAGTTCTAGCACCCAGTTCCGAATAGCAAGAGGAGTTCCAGCACCTATTACAAAAATAACATGGTCAAGTTCGGGCACCCGGTACAGATTTAGAAAGGGAGTTCTAGCACCCCTTTTTCCCCACTTCATGCACTTACTGACAGCACTACAGCAGCTTCTCCCATTTGCACTGGCAGTCTTCCTAATGGCTGCCACACCTCTATGCCGTTAGTTATCACGTCGCCCGTATATTAAGCTACACCACAACATGATATACAGCTGACCGCAGACATTTCCAAGGCCACATCCCCTTATGCTACTTTGCATACAAATAAACACGAGACATGACAAAATCCTGAAATCCTTTCTGCCTTTCGCTCTGGTGATAAACACCACCTGACACAGCGACGGTTTAATGGAGACATATTTGCACTGCCCTCAAACACAATACGTATCCCTGTAGAAGCAGAACATGGTGGCAGTAACTAACCTTTTGCGAAGGTAAATTAGCGTGCTTAGTTTTCTAATGCACACATTTTCAGAACCCTTTACTGTTTAAGGAGCTGCATTTCCAACATGTTAATTTTATTCTCTAAATTCATCTAAACCATAACAGAGATGGCAGAAAAGCCCAAGGACATTGGCACAGATTGTATTTTACCATAAAGCCCTTGTCTCCCAGTGTACATTTGTGTAATATGCAAAACGCCATCGGCAAAAACACCCATAGTCAAACAGCAGTAATACTGTTGACTTCTTATTGCTTTCCCATAATCAATACTTTATGAAAAATACTCTGTACTAAAGCAGTTATAATTGTGGCTAATGTTATTTTTATGGTCAAGAAATACAAGCACTTTGGCGTAATGGACATAATGGACGCACCCCATAAAAACCTGCAATGGCTGGCTTGCGGAGGCAAGGAACATCAACCTGATATGAATCTTAAGTGTAAGTTGACCACCCTGGAATGGATCACAAATGCAGAAGGTCACCAAAGAATGTGTTGGTCAAGTGAGTCACAAGGATCATCAGCCAAGGAAGTAGCGATGTCCCACTTTGGGCTGCTCGCTCAATCTGTAAAAATTAGTGCTTAAGGATCTACTGTAATCTGCTCTAACCTGGAGTGGATCCAAACATTTTATGGAACTTAGACAAGAGAGTCTTTTTGTGAACAAAGAACACAAAACATTTGTGGAAAAAAAAAAACTTTTTTGTTTGAGAATAAGCTGTTTGTTTCCATCCAGTGACAGTGTAGAAGTGCAATTTACATTTCTTTAATGAACTGCTTCTGGCTATGCCAGGAGTGCATCCCCTAACATTCAGCCTTGAAATCAAACAATTCTTTCCAAAAGACTTTCCCTACAATGCCAAGCGCTGTGGAATCAATCTTGTAACATTTGTACTGGTCACTTTGTACATAGGTGCTAAACAAATCAGGATGTTGAATATTTTGTGAGCCAGTTTGTTCATACATTTTCCATTTAACATAATAGAAATGGTCATTCTTTTCGCATGGATTCCTAAGTACATACAAAGCTTAATTAGGAGAGACCCACCACAATGGCAAAAAACAATTATTGCTCTAACAATAATAAGCATGGCAGCACAGTGGGAATCACTGTTACCCAGTTCAAAGGCAGGGGAATGAATGAAGAGCAATGAAATCAACTTAAATACTGATCAACACCAGACGCACAGGCACCAAGCAAAACTAAATGTAAATAATCAGTCTGTTCATCTTCCGTCTGCCCAGTAAATGGGGAGCAGCTCATATGGTATTTGGTTGAATGTTTTCAGAGAGATTTTCCTGTTGCAGTCAAAGCATACATTGAAACGTCCACTTATAAATATATAAATACGTCTTAAATACTGTTTTCTTTTTTCCCCATAAAAAATACGAGGGAAAAACACACACCATTTTGTACCAATGATTCCTCATTATACTAACATATTCAAAGCCATTTGTAATATACTAAATTAACAAATTGATGAGGTTTAGAACTTTCTACCATGAAAATCCCAGTTAAGTGTGAAATTACATAGTAAAACACGTTATTTCAATAATGGGTTACATGTAAACAAGAACATTATATAACGATTCTTAAACTACATCTTTTATGCCAATATCATTTAAAAAATGTTTGTACAATGACAGGGGATGGAAGAAGGAATTTCATTCACACTACATAAGATATATGAAACTGAACTCAAACTGTTCACAGATCTTAAGCCAAAGACTAATAAAGGAAGACAGGACCTAACAAATGAGCAAATCCACTATTTGATTGGAATTAATTTAGCAGGCAGGGAGAACCATCACTGACAAGGTGACTCTCCCAATCTGAGGTTCAGCCATTGCACTGTAGCTCTGTAGAGCCCATCCATTCCCCAAACATGGGAATCTTGATCGCATGATTTTAGTAGTGGGGGATTGCATTCAGCCTCACCCCCAGTGTGCAGCTCAACAGGTTAAGGACCAGTACCTGTGCCCAGAAGGTTATGAGTTTGAATCCTGTGGCCAGCAGAGCAATTATATCATAACTGGGCCTGTGACCAAGTAATGTTGTGTGTTGGCTGACCTCATGCTCTAACCTCACAACTCACTCTCACCTGTATATACATGCCTGTCTGTGTCACTCATGAAGAGCAGGGTGGGGTGGGTTTAAAAACAAACAAATCCCTACATGCCTGTGCTCATTCTGTAATGAACTGGGTCAAGGTCCAGACGCAGAGTGATCCATTCATCTAATGGCCAAAAGCACAATCCAAAATCCAGAAACCGTAAAGACAGGCGGGGATTGAAACTGTAGCAGGAAGATAACCAGATAGCAAACCATAATACACAGTCAGGGAGCACAAGCACGGGGATGACATACACAAGCTATATCAAGAATACTCGCTTGGAAACCACCTGATACAGATAAACTCACAATACCTCACCAAAGGAAACTGGGTTGGAGCAATATTTATGACACAGAGTAAATAGTACCCAAGTGCGATTCATTAAGCAGTTCTGTTTAAGGTATGCACTAGATTACGGATCTAGAGTTCGATTGGTTGGTGGAGCTGACATATTTAAATGACAAATAAAGTACATTTCATTAATTTAAGTTTGATCCATAATCTAGAGCTTGAGCAAAGGCATACAGTATGTGACCAATGGCACGGCTGAAAGGGTTCCAAAGGCCTTTACAGTATGCCCCATGACAATAAAGAATTTTGAATGAAATTGACCAGGATAATTGATTAGAAATGGGGGTGAGTAGTTTTATGTCACTTTTTCCTTGGTAATATCCATATCCTATAGCAGGGGTCTCCAACTCCGGTCCTGGAGAGCTACTATCCAGTAGGTTTTCTATCCTACTTGGCTTCTGATGACCCACACCTGGTCCTGGTATTTACCTGAGAACAGGTGTGGCTCATCAGAAGCCAGGTAGGATAGAAAACCTACTGGATAGTAGCTCTCCAGGACCGGAGTTGGAGACCCCTGTCCTATAGTATCCAATAATTGGGTACCTGGTGAGTTAAACTCACTAAGTTGTAGTGTAATTTTAGTAGCTATCAGACAGTATTTTTACCTACAAACAACTAAAAGACAAAAATTAGTGTTGACGTAGTTCTTGCCTTATGTTAGCTCTACAGTCTACACTAAACACATAAAAAGCATATTAGCTGAGCTGGATTCTTAAGATTGTTTTTAACTCCAATTAAACTCTTTAATTAAAATCCTGATAAACACATGCAGTGAATGACTTTACTGAAACCACCTGGAAAGACTAGAACTCATTTTATGAGGACTTTATTGTGATTTCTTTAATTATCATTAAAGATTCAATACCTTTTTGCTTAATTGGCAGCCACCGTCATTTATTGTTCCAATTTAAGCTTGAATAAAAGAGAGAGGGGAATTATCAGAGTCTAGGGAAGGCTTAAAAGTTGTACACGTTTCCAGAGCACGGGTCCTCTTTGTTCGTATGTTGACGGTGTTTTCAGCTTGTGACTCCTCTGAATATTTCATGTTGTTTACGTGGCCCTACTGTGGCAGGAGAGTAACTGTATCCTCGACACTTAGCTTGTATTACTAGCGTACAAATAAATTAATTTAATCGTATCCCAGGTTAGATATTTTTCCCCATTCGAATAATTCAGAGTATAGGGCAGAAGCTTCTGAGACCGCTTCGCTGTCAGAAGCCTTGCTACATACCTGAAACAGATCATTAGTGGAGATAATGTCTCCGACCGCAATAAAGCCCGCAGCGTCCGTGGTGCGGAGCATTTCTGCAGCAGCCCTACAAATCCCTTGAATACTAACTGACGTCTGCCGTTTAACAGGGTAGTAAGTTAAAAAATGTAGCGAATATTTCTTAATGTTACCCGCGCAGGGTAATTAAATTAACATCAAAGCCGGAGTCTCGACATCCATAATCCGTTTATCGAGCGATGGTCATGGCTTACTGGTTAACTTGATTACGGCCATTTCTCTGAACAGCTGGCCAGGCGCATTTGTAATTACACATCATCGCCATCCTATATAAATAGGCTAGGCACCGCAATAAGGAACGCTGAATATGAAAATCGGAAAACGGAAAGGTGATAATTATCGCTTCAATGATTTGATTGGATCCACATCTCCACAAGTTGTCGTGAAAACATTTCGTAATGGAAATTCAGCCGTGATCAAAAAGATGGTCGGGCGATCGGTGACATTTATGTCATGCAGGGCATTAGGAGTATTAGATGAACACGGAAAAATGTCAATGGTGTCACCGATGTACTTGTTTAATGCGCTTCTGTTGAGTCCTGCGGCGGCATGAACTTAATTAGTTGGAAGAGAGAGTTGTAGATCTCCTGGGGCCGAGCATCCAAGACGGTTTTTAACCAAAGCAGTGTTGATAATGTGAATGAACAAATTAATCTAGAAGCCAGATTCCGGCTTGATTTGGTTTGACTGGCGATGAAAATGTGGGCGAGGCCGTATAAAATGCCACTCATTTGTGCTAAATGACACAAAACACCGTTTTCTTTTCCCAGTGAAGCATTAGCCTACAAGGGCATCGTCATTTAAAGGAGAGTCAAATGGCTTACAGAGATGAACTATGCGTGATTTTTATGTATGAAGAAGTCCAGATGATATGAATTTAAATCTTTATACGACCATTTTATGCACGAAGAAAAATCCATTTAAATGAAGGACCTTATTACAAATGAGGTACATTTAGAACGTACTACGTATTTGCATATAGTAATAAGACAAATTATGGCTATATTAGCATAGAGGACAGAAATAAAGGTTCCGTAATGAAAAAAAATTTGAATTCAAAAGACAACGAACAGTAAAGTGAACAAAGTGCATGAGGAGTTAAGGCTGGGTGTTTTGTTTCATCTCTTGGCAGCCTATAGTCGTCTGAAACGATGGTTCATCTGTGCACTTCTCAAAAAGAAAATAGTACATATATAGGCCTACTTGACTTCTTATGCCTATAGCTACGTTGTATATGTTCTGGAAAAGAATACGTGAGTCAAACTGAGGAAAATGTTTATTATTATTATTATTATTATTATTATTGTAATGAAAGGAATCGGAAAAAATAATCGTCTATTTCACAGAGATGTGCTGCCTGACATTATAGGTATTGTATCTGCAGTAGCCCACATTTTAACCCAAATAGAAACAAAACGTGCGCAGTTATTACAAGACCACTATGCACGTTACAGCCAAACAGACGTCATGACCGGCGACCGGCAGCTAATCCGGGTCCCCTATATCTACTCCTGCACCAAGCTGCAGCATTATTACACGAAACCAAAGCCGCGAAGATTGAAATAATAGGACGAAGGAACTGCATTAATCTCAACAAATGCACTCTAGAACAAGTCATTGGTGTTTTTCGTATTTTTATTTTAAATTACCACTCCACCATTTTAATTAACTAAAACCCCAATTCCCGATCATTGTCTTTTTAGGACAATGAAGCGTAGCATTAATATCCTTGTGTATTTCACTTGTCAAATATCTAACGTAAGAGTCAGTCTTTCCATGGCTACGACACCAGGCTCACTGAAATGATTTACTGAGAGATACGTTTTAATGAGCTGCAGTCACTCATGTGTGAGGGCATTTTAATTGAAATCTCCTTCTGCTTATGTATGATTAAAACTCATTTAACAAGTTAATGTGAAGAGAAAAGCAGGCGCACGGCTTCCGGGGAGAATCACGCCGAGCCAAATTTGGGGACGTGGGTTCGTGTTGTATAAATGACGTAAAGCCTAATAAACAGTCACTACAGCGCAAGCGGTGAAAATCGCAGTGTCTCAAAATCCCCAAGCAATTACGTGTTTTCTAGCTGACCCGTGTTTTTAATATAATAACTTAATCAGCATTTTTTAAGCTATCCACCACTGGACACCATACATTCCTATTACCCTGGAGTGCAACTGATGATATCCAAGCAATTTACGTCACACAATAGTGGATATTATTCTCGGTATCAGTCTGCCGACGTGAAATTCCTGCATGCGATCTCACAGCGGCGATCATATTGTAATTTATTTAACGAATATGCACTGCAAAGCAAAACTGCTAGACTAAATCCCACATTGCCATCTTTTGTGCATATGCTTTTGTTCATATCACATATAATGGCAATCACAACAATTATCATATTCCTTTTAAGATAAACAATAGTTTATTAATATTTTTGATTCACAAATGATTCTTTTTTTATCACAACGACACATTTACTGGCTATAATTTTGCCAACTACATATAATTTCAAAGACCATTGACAATTGACTTGGAACAGACACATTTACAAGTTTTAGTCTGCAATATATTAATAAAAAACTTTTGCAAAAGAGTATGAACCTGCATATCCCCAAATCTTGAGAAGACATTGTGTACCAGTAGCATTTCACTGCTAAACTGCAATAAAATGCAATGCAATATACTGTTTGGCATTATTAACCAAGAAATAATAAAAAACCAAATCCCACAACCCTCAACGGTAGTTAAAATTTATGAGAATAATTACTGTACAATACATACAAGCATACAATCAATAGCAATATATTTATATAGATGGTAGGAAAAGCTTTTAAAAAAAGCTTCAGTCTTCTGTTCATAAAAATATTGAAAAACTCATAATTGTGAATGTGAAACTGAATATAAGACAACAGTTGTTAGACGTTCTGGGTACAGAGTATCCCTTTAAAAGATGTTCTGGGTACAGAGTATCCCTTTAAAAGACTTTTTGGCACCACAGTTAAAACCAGGGTAGAAAAGAGCCAGACTAACACTTTGGGATTCTGCAGCAATACTGCTGTAAGTCAGGTGATAAGCAGAGTAAACAACAAAAATCACAGTTTTGTTTTTATTTTACTTTGCACAAAAGCATTTATAAGGCCAAAGAAAAGGAAAACAAGGAGATGGCTAACAAGAAAATAAAATTAAAACCTATGAATGCCAGTTAAAAAATTTTGTTTATAAAATGTTACCTGGGTTACAAATTGTTAAAATATCTTTTTCCTCATAAAAATGCCACATTGAACGAGGCAAGTAATTAACACCGCGTGTGGCAGAGTGCGTCTCACACAGTGGTGACGGACAGGAAGGCGTTATGCACCTTCGCCCCATCCGGAGCCTTGGCCCCATGCGTCATCAGCTCCTGGATGGTCATCCAGTTGTCCAGGATCTTCTTGTTACGCCGCTTCATCATCTTCTTGTGGCTAAGCTCGATGATGCTGACCTCGTGCCGGGGCTCGGCCGCGCCTAGTGGTGCCTCCCGCAGGCACTCCAGCCGGCTGCGCTGCATGAACTCCCGGCGCCGCCGCTGCTCCCGTGCCCGGGCCAACTGCTGCTTGCGCTCCTCCTTACTCCAGTAGCGGCCCAGCTTGAGCTCGCTGGCAGCGTCGTCGTCCGTGGTCATGCCGCTGCGCTCCTCGCGGATCTTCAGCGCCCGCTCACGCAGGATTCGGTCCCGTGCCGGCCTCTTGGTGATGTACCGAGTGCCGTCGCTCCGCACCTTCACCTTCCACTCCATCTTGGGCTCCACGGCCACCAGGCTCAGCTGGCTCTGCGCGTACTCAACAGCCGAACGCTGCTGGACCAGGTGCATGTAGCTCTGGTAGTGCTGGGCATGGGCTGGGATATTCGTGTGCCGGTGCTGGGAGCTGTGGTATGGTGACAGATGGGAATCTGGAGCTACCTGGGCCTCATCCTGCCCGCAGCCCTCGTCATCTGCTGGTAGCGGCTGGTCAGACTCTGAGGGGTTGCTCGGTTCTGGACTGCTGGTAGCTGCTGGGCCGGCAGCTGGCTGGCTATGGCAGGCAGCACGAGTCCTGCTGAGGTTCTTCTGGTTGGTGATCCGGACTCGCCTCTGGAGGGAGTGGTCCGGTGAGCGGTCGACTGAGTGCCACACATGGTCAGGAGAGCGGTCCATGAGCAGGGGTGTACTGCGGCAGCTTTCTGCTGTATTGTAGGCACTCGAGCTGTCTTTGTCTGACTTCTCTGGGTGCTCGTTGATGTCAGCCAATTTGCCTCTTGGCAGGTTGGTGCATCCTTGGCTCCGGGAAGCCCAGTCATGGTTTGGGTCCCGGACCTTGCGGAGCTGGTGAGCCTGCATGATGTTCTGGCACTCCAGCTCAATGCTCCTCAGCTCTTCGTTGAGGAGCTGTAGCTCCCGGCCCACGCCGTCTTGCTCGGATAGGCTGCACTCAATGGTGCTGTGCCGGCTGTAGTACAGGCCGTACTCGCCACTGTTCCGGATGTGGCACTTAAGCTCCAGGAGCTGCTGAAAGTGATCGCATTCTGTTTCCTCATCTTCCTCATCCTCATCGTTCTCCTCTGGTACCTCAGGGCAGAGCGAGTTCAGGTGTGCTCCTGACACAAGGGTCTGGACACACTGTGGCCGAGGATTGGACCAGAGCTGATCCTGCTTGTCCTGCACACACTGAGCCAATTTCTTATGGACTTGGGCTAAGATTGCTGGCTTGGAACACCCCTTGTACTGCATACTCTTGTCTGAACGACCCATCCCACTGTCCTGGTTGTTGGATGAGCATGTTGCAACATCTGTAGTGATGTCGTCTTCCTCCAAACTCTTGGACTGCAGAGGAAAAATGTTTAAGTACATTAGAAGGTATAAGCATCGATACACCATCTGTCTGTCTTGTTGCATAATAACCACCATATTGATATGAAGTACTCAGCAAGAAATCACTCACATCCATTGTTTATTTAGCCAGCAATACTGAGCATCGGTCCACGGCAGAGCAAACCATGCATAATCAAGTAAGTAACTGGGAGTCTATAATTAAAAAAAGGCTAATTATAGTGAAACAGTCAGCTTTTGTATTTGTATCCCCATGGCTTACACTGTTTAACTTGCAAATAAATTAATTTACAGTATGCTAATCCATCCATCCATCCATCTTCCAGTGCCTCATCCTGGTCAGGGTCACAGGGGGCTGGCGCTACCTCCCACTAATACCTCAACACACTAATACCTCAACACACTAATACCTCAACTAACCATACACTATGGATGAAGCATTTGTTTAACTTATAGAGGGCTATGTAGGTGTGATCCTGCTCCTTTTTTGGTGCATGACCTAAAGCCCTGGATTTAGATTGACTTCTCTAACAATACTGATCAACAGTCAGAAATAAGAAATGGAAATGAGACTAAATGCATTTTAACCTGAATGGTTCTCACTGAGCCGCCCTCAGATCTCAGCGCTGATGGCCCTCATGAAGAGCTGGGATAACCTTTACAGGACAATCATCAACACTCATGATGAAGGCCTGAGCGATTAGGGGCTAGCTGACATGCGTAAGATCATTATTATTTCCATCATTGCAGTGTCATTAAGGTGATGCAAGGCAATTTCCAGAAGGCCTCACTGAGATGTGTGGATGTAGAAGGTTTTTTGAAGCAGAATAATCCTAGCATGCAGTGCCCAGGCTTGCCCATGGTCTTTAGAAGCTCTGGTGCAAAAGCCACCTTCACTTTGAAGGCTGGGAGGCTGGGAAGGGCCCTTCACCGTGAAGGCCCGAGGCCAGGAAAGGCTACCGCCATCACTGTAAAGGCTGGGAAGAGCCCTTCACCGTGAAGGCCCGAGGCCAGGAAAGGCTCCCGCCATCACTGTAAAGGTTGGGAAGGGCCCTTCACCGTGAAGGCCCGAGGCCAGGAAAGGCTCCTGCCATCACTGTAAAGGCTGGGAAGAGCTCTTCACCGTGAAGGCCTGAGGCCAGGAAGGGCCCCCGCCTTCACCATGAAGACCCGAGGCCAAGAGGGCCCCCCGCCTTCACCATGAAGACCCGAGGCTTGGAAGGGCTCCCGCCTTCACTGTGAAGACCCGAGGCTTGGAAGGGCTCCCGCCTTCACGGTGAAGGCCTAAGGCCTGGAAGGGCTCCCGCCTTCACCCTGAAGGCCTAAGGCCTGGAAGGGCTCGCACCTTCACCATGAAGGCCCAAGGCTGGGGTTGGTTCCCACCTGCTCCGCCATGTGCTGCTCCTCCTCCAGCATCTCCCTCTTGAGCTCCTCTAGAAGGTCACTGTGTTCATCATCCAGCCAGACCTCCTCCATCTACTCAGCAGAAGGGGGAAGGAGCTCTGTGTGATCAGTGCTGGGGTGCGCAGGACCCCACCCATTCCCGATATTTATTCTATTCACCACCAGGACATTTGATTCTGCTAATCTAGGGCTTGGTAAGGTGACTCAGTAAAGGAGACGGGTAGAGAGCTGCCTCTGAAACTGCTGAAGTCCTTAAAGGGATTAACAAAGTGCCATATTTAATTACTGGAGGAGAAACAAGCATGTCTTGGTTTATCTACAGTGGTGACAGACCGTTATGAACTCTGTGAAAGAAATTTTATTCCTGTTATATTTTTACCTAGGATGGGATTTGATGTTTGCCTCATTATAGATAAAGAGAATCTATTTATGTCACATGATTCTGACAAAGTCACACTACAAACCATAACCAAACTAAAAATGTTGCTGCATGACCTGAAGCAAGCATTTCACACAAGACCTACTGTGTCTGCGAAACAGATTTGAAATATTGATACCCATATGAAGTTCCATCTAGAGGAACACCTCGAAACTGATTTACGGGATTGTGTGACTAGATCATTATTTGTCAACCCAGTCCTCAGGCATCCCCCCGACTGTCCACATTTTTGCTCCCTCCCAGCACATCTGTACCACGTGTTGAAAATTTCTGACTGTGTTGAAAATTACACCTACTTTCCGAAACCTACTGGACTTCAGTCAACCCACCTGCACGTCTGGCCTGGCAACCAGCAGGATGAGACTCCTGAAATCCTCACTGGAGAGCGCAGCCACGGCCTCCTCCCGGTCCTGCACGTCACGCCCGTTTATCTGCCAGGCATGCGTGTGGACACACACAGACACACATACACGTTTGTACTCATATCTTTGTGGGGACTGTCCATTCATTTCTATGGGAAGAACCCTAATCCCAACAATGACAACGTTAACCCCTACCCAGCCCTAACCTTAACCATAAGAGACCAAACAAAATGCAAGATTTACACACACACAGACAGACAGACAGACAGACACACACACACACACGGGTGAGTCGTTAATCCCTTCATCCTTGGCCCCACCAAAACATAACCAACCAAGAGAGGCTGGGGGAAATCTAGGCAACCACTGCTACATCTCCAGCTCCAGGAAGCTCCTGAGATAAGCATCCCCAGTCTATTATGCCCCTGCAGAGGGGGGTTGAGGGCCCCATTGATTGTGGGGCTGCCAACAGTCGCCGGTGGGGGCGGTCATGTTCATAAAAGCATCCTTCTAACATACATCTGGCAACACAATTAACTGGCGGCAGACAGCTGCTGTTTGTCTCTGGCCGTGCAGAGTAATGTGGCTGTCACCGGCAGATAATGGTGCCGGATCTCCCGGCTCTGGGAATCTCCGTGCCTAAATCGGTCATGCCGCGGTGTCACCCTGACGCACACGCAGCAGCTCAGATATCGGCAGCCCCAAACTGTGCCTGCGGACCACGCCACCCTGGAAAGCAGCCCTGAGAAATGACTCCCAGTTAATAAGGTAGGAGCTGCTCTGCAGAGGTAGAAGATGAATCCCCCCCCCAATGTGTCATCTCCGGTTTGATGACAGTTGTTGTTTGGTCTGCAACAGCTGAAAGTGTGTAGAAAGGCTGGTAGGGAGACGATCAGGCGCGCCGTTACCTGTACAATGCGGTCCCCCTCTCTGATGCGGCCGTCCTTGGCGGCGATGCTGTTCGGCCCCACCTGTGAGAGGGAGCGACGGCATCGTCAGCGCGGAGCCACGGGACATCTAAGCACCGCTCTCTGCGCGGTTCACCCTGGGAGGATGCCGAGAGCGGCTGTTTGGCCGCGGAGGTGCCCGCTCACCGCTACAGGAGAGCTGCTGGAACCGCCGAGATAACGCGACATCTGCAGCAAATCCCGGAGACGGACGTCCCACTCCATCCCGAGCGCCATTTCCGTTAAATCCCCGGTATTCAGCCACCACCATCATTCACAGCGCATAATTAATTCATTGTACCGCCTGGTGTTTGTGTCCTTAGCAGAGCGGATACTAACGGGATGTCAGTTAGCGGCGACAGCCCACGTTTCACATTCCTTACATGTTCAGCCCTCAGTAGCTCGCGGGCCTGAGACGACTTCAAACAAATCTGCGTCGCGGAGACTTGATGGCGCTTTCTGCGTGTCGCCAACACGTGGCAGAAAAATCACTGTTCCCAGAGGGTACGAGCGCTACAAATCTGCCAGCAAAATAAGTTTCCCTAAGACGAGACACGTCTCTGAAATGGGTGGAAAGAGGAGACACTTTCATCGCGATTCTCCGTGAGAAATGGATTTATGCTCATTCCATTTTTGTATTTGCTGCATATGTACAGGATATATATTTTTCCTGTGAATTCTGCTTTTGTGGTTATGCCACAAAAACGATTGCATTCAACATATAACCATTAATAAGCATATATGTATAGACGTGTGTGTGTGTGTGTGTATATATATATATACATATATACACAAACACACAACCCACACACCTACACACACATGTTCACACATTTATATACTGGAAGTAAACACGGATTAATCCATATCTTCAAAATAATCACATAAATATATTTATAAAGCGTTACCAGGTTTTAGCTGCAAATCATAATGACATGTTATGTTATTCACACTGAATATTAACACGGTATTAACAAATCAAACTGCAAATGCACATTCCACAACAACCAGAGCAGAAATAAAACGACAGTTCCTCGCGAGCAGAAATATAAAAGACGCACACAGGGATTTATAATGAGAAACGGCTAACATTTCCTTTGATCGGCCGTCTATAAATATCGCGGTGGGTTTGTTTTGAAAGCCTGATGCTATCCGGCGCTACAGCGGGACAGCTGGGAAGACAGCGATTCCCAGCAGGAGCACCATTCTGCCGCCGAGCACCCAGACAGCAACCTTGGGGACCTGTTATTGTGAAAATCGTCTGCATATCTGTTTGTGTACATGTGTTGTACCGTCAGGAGGGATAGTGCGAATACCGGTAATAGGGAACGTTGCCATTTTACACTCTGTAAGAAACGAGAAAGGTGTCAGAGAGACCTAATTAAAACCCACGATTTAAATATGAAGGAGGATATTTCATGATACATCATGGACTTGATTTTCAGTCTGCAAAGGAGAAGTGTTTGGGTATGCAGTCATGATACCAGCTAACACCTGCAGTAATCCCTTACCAGACTAATCTCTGTCAATTGTTATTTCAAAGTAAAAACTAGTTTGTTGTGGCTTCATCGGCACCAATTGGAAGCATCCTAATCAGTTTTGGATTCTCTGGATCATGAGTTTAATGCTGCTTCACTAAATGAATCATTGTGATGCCAGAGTATAAGCACCTTTCTCAATGGTGAAAAGCAGCATAACCTTTTGCGGAACTGAACCTGCACACAATATACTGATCAGACTGATTAGGCTACTGTGCTAACTGGTTAAATATATATGAATCGACTCAGGGGCTTCAGAAACATTTTGAATGTGGGGGGGGGGGGGGGGGCACACTTGAAAACAGCGCTGGGTGAACTATTATTTTATGTTAAATGTGGGGGGGTCCAAACGAATGATTATGAAATGTGATTTAATGGCGGCGACACCCATCATTCGACTGCAAGACCAGCAGGAAGCCCCTGACAGGTACTGACCTCGCTAACGTAGATGGCCACATCGTCCTCGTCATCGGTCCTATAACAGAGCGTCAAGCCCAGCTTCTCCTGGCTGTTCAGCCGGCAGAGCTCCACTTCCTGTAGAGGTGAGGCCGTAAGGGAAGAGGAGGACCAAACACAAAGCAGGAGGTGAAGGGATCACTGTAAGGGTGCCAGGAACGCTGACAGGGAGGACAGGAGACGCATGAGACACAAGTCAAGGCTGACTGCTGTCCTCATGCTAACCAACCAAAACGCTGCACTGGGGTTACTTTTTATGATGCTTGCATTATCAAATCTTCTGGAATACCTTCAAGACAAATATGAACTTTAATTCATCATTTGCAACTCATTATGAGGCAGAGAATAAGAGTTTGCAGTTAGAATGTTATTGTGTATTCCGATAAGTCTTACATTTCTTTCACCACTTCTGCAGTCAGCAGTCATGGTGCACGTAAAATATTTATCATGTTCTCCAAGACTGATGAAAGAAACCACAATCTTAGTTTTACCTAGAAATCCTCCAAGGGTCCAAACACCCATCACAACTGCCTTAGATTTCAGATTAACAAGCATCAAATTGTTATTTTATTCGGGGCAAAGTGATATTTTTAAAATAGAGCTGCATAAAGAATCCGCCAAGGCTTTATTAGAGATAACATTAATATAAAATAAGGGCGATCTGGACTTCATGGAGCACACGTCTTTGATTGCACCCACATGTGTCCAGGCGGATTTTAATTTGTGCGAAAAAGCATTCTGACAAAACAACTGCTGCACTTTGAAAGCACCATACACAAGGATAAAAGGAGCCAAGGGAATGGTGAACTCTGATTTGCATCATCTGTCTAAATAATTAAACTGCAGTGCCTGTAGTTTACCAAAATAATGAAGCAAGTGGAGGCCAGGAAATCTATAGGACCTGACTCTACTCAATAGTGAGGAAGCCAAGCAAAGGCAGATGCTAGAGGTCATCTGTTTTCTGACAGCTACTCTAGTTGAACATCCAAGTGAGTCTAAACCTCCTTCCAGGGCTTCCAGCTAAAGGCTGAGGGTCTCCTCAAAGGGCAGACAGCAGAGGCTCCTTTCCACTACCGACGTCCAGTGGCTCTGTGAGAAATGGGGAGTGCACGGCATTAACTATGGTGCATGTCTGGATGTTCTGTGTCGTACCTCAGAAGCAGATGTGCAAAGTGAGAAGTACCGACTGCAGATCCATCTGAGAATGACGGATGGTGAAGCACCCATTACTTAGGGAAGAACACACCCGGAATTTTATCCAAACTACTCGAGAGGTGGAGATGGTTTCTTCATGCTGAAGGCATGAAGCAGGGAGGATGTATCACTGGAAAAGCAGTATGGGAGCGGTGTGGGTAAAAGGGCCAAGTGGACACATGGCTTCACCTGCAAAGCCAGCAGCAGGCAGTGAAATTAATGGGTTTGAAGTCCCCTGGAAATTTGTTGGAGCCCCTCCTCAGAATTAATGTCTGGCTGCAGGTCTTCCCAGCAGGGTGTGAAAACGTGGTATATAACAGGAGGAATTTGCTTCACTTCACTCTCTTTTTGGATATGCTCCCAAAAATAGGGGCAGTGGTGGCTTAATGGTTAGGGAAGTGCACTTTTAATTGAAAGATTGCTGGTTCGAATCCCCGACCAGCAAGGTACCACTGTGGTACCCTGAGCAAGGTACTGCCCCCCAAGCAGGTACCCGTGCTATGTCACGATGTCACATATGGGTTAAATGCAAAGGACACTTTTCATTGTTGTGCACTGTGGTATGTCAACACTGATCACCTAATTCTAAATACAGTACAGCCCTAACTTGCCATAACCTACTAGCATGTGGCCTCAGGGGCCAACACTGTGTCAAGTCCCCTGTGACTGGCAGATTCACATTAAAGCATCTGTCATTTAAATATGTAACACGTAATGATAAAAATATATGATCAAAGTACCTGTACACCTGCAAAGAGTGATAATAGTAAACAGAGACATATGGTAAGGCCGTGACAGAAAAGTAATGGCTGCTCATTCTGAAATCTAGGAAAAACCACCGGCAACATTTGTCACGTTCGTCTCTGGTCAGGGACACAGTGGTGCGTCGTGTTCCTGTCTGTTTGAAACTCGTGGCGTGACCTTCGCACAAAGCTAAATTTCAATTGAGTTGCCCTTTAACGAATTAGTGAACGTCACGCAGGCAAACGTCCGTGAGTGAGCTAATTAAATATGTGCGCTAGCCCTTTTAGGGGGAGCCATAGCGCTCGATGCATCCTGCCGGCCCGTCGAGGAAGCTTTAGTAGGGATGCATATCTCGATCTCCCTGGTTTCACCCATCAGCTCTCCCTGACCGCCTGGGAGAGGTCCGCGCTAAATTAGCGGGTGAGGTCTTGTGGTTACAGTGGATTACCTCCCGTTTTTGGCTTGCAGCACATACAGTCATAATGATTAGGCCTTTGATTTTAAGAAACCAAAACAGCGTCCCCTGGGGTCCGCTGGCCCGACTGCGGGGTGGGCGGTTACTGTAGCACAGCTGTGCTGTGAGTGTCATCATTCAGGGCCGCTCATAGCACATAGCAAGAAATGCTGCAAAACTATTTATTTCCGTTCAATACAACGCCACCTGCTGGTTTATTTGCCAAGCATTTTCTCAGGAAGTTACACTCAAATGCCATCATCACCACCCAGCTGTCCCAGTTGTATGGAGAAACTGGCTGAATCAGTTAAATTAATAAAACCAGGTCATACTAAGCAAAAGACTATAAGGCATATATATTCAAAAGTAGAAAAGAAAACATCCTTGGATAAAAGGGACCAGACTAGAAGATTCAGGTTTAGTATACTTGGCCAGTTTGAGTGTCGATGATTAAAAATCACGAGGTAGATAGAGGCTGTTCTCCCCAAGGCTGCTGACTGGAGGACAAATGGCCCAGAGCACTTGCCAGGCCGAACAAGCAAATGCACAGCCAGGCCGAACAAGCAAATGCACAGCCAGGCCGAACGAGCAAACGCACAGCTAGGAGCCGAACAAGCAAAGGCACAGCTAGGGGCCGAACGAGCAAACGCACAGCTAGGGGCCGAACGAGCAAACGCACAGCTAGGGGCCAAATGGGGAAACGCACTACCAGGCCGAACGAGCAAATGCACAGCTAGGAGCCGAACAAGCAAAGGCACAGCTAGGGGCCAAATGGGGAAACGCACTACCAGGCCGAACGAGCAAACGCACAGCCAGGCCGAACGAGCAAACGCACAGCCAGGCCAAACGAGCAAACGTACAGCCAGGGGCCAAACAAGCAAACGCATAGCCAGGCCAAAGCGTTATTCATCACCAAGATCCACCTATGAGTTAGCAAGATTTATTCACAATCAAAAGTCCCTCCTTATCAGGGATATCCTGTGATTGCAAACAGTGTTGACTAGCCAGTAAATTGTACTAATGTGCACAGCATAGCATTAAGCTAAACAGTACAGGACGAAGCTTAGGTGGCCAGTCTGTAAAGAGGGCGTGAGGACCTGTAGCTGAGGCTGGCTGTCAGAATAACCCCAGGCTTTAATGTCAGAGCTGCCTTCCCACTTCAAATTTTCCTTGTCTGGTCAGTTCTCACCAACGTTCTCTGGCAAATTATCCCACTGAAGCAATAATTAACATTATCAGTATTACTCGCTGTGTCTAATGGATGAAGGTCATTAAGGCCTCCTGCTTAATACAAAAACATCATTTATTCCTGTGTTCACTTTATGATTTTTCTTTGTGGAAGATTAGAGAATACTTTGATGGAAGTATAAAAGGTAAAGCAGAAGCTGAACCTTCAGTTATGGACTTTTCACAACGAAACAACACAATAAAAAAAAATGTAAAATAGAATTTAATAAATTAAATGAGGTCTGGAAAATATACTTCGCTGATACTTTCTCAGAATTAACAGAATATGACAACGCACATGAATATATGAATTGTATCTTTGGAGGATTATGGAAAGAAAATGTATACGAAAGACGAGAGCCTGTGGGCTGCCACCGTTTGTTCATCCTTCTGTGAGATGGAGAGAATGCAGTAGGAGGGATTAAAAGTCGGGCCTCAGCTGTGTGGCGGCGCTGGTCCCTTATATCTGCAGCAGGGAGCCTGAAGGGATCCCTGTGATCCCAGTCTGTCTTACTGACTGGGATGTGTGGTCTTTGGAGTGTTTGCCACCATCCCTGGAGGCAGAGTCCCTCAAATAGTTCCGGAGGGTTATACGAATCGCTCGTGAATCAACCTCCATTCAAGAGGCAATGATCGTTTTTTGCTTGAACTACAAAAAGCTTGCAGGGTGACCCAGTTATTCAACCAATCCGTCTCATTCAACCTAATGTGGAACCTTGCTGCGACCCAAGCATGAATTCATTAAAGGTGAAGATGATAATGGATTGCTGGGGCATCTGGAGACCCCAGAAACCGGAAAGGTACGCCTTGTCATTTTGACCATATGCTGTCATTTGTGCCTAATACACAAAGAGCACAGTGGACAGGAAAACGGCACCGTGAGGGCTGAAGGTGAACTGGGGGATTCCCAAGGTAGCCATAGAATGAAAAGAAGAATGAGGACTTACCTCATACTCAAATTCCTCCGCTCTGTCCCCATCGGGCACCACGTTGGAGAGGTAGTCTGAGCCGCCGTAGCACTCGCGGTCCATTGTGTGAAGGGAATGGCAGCTGTGACGGACAATGGAACACAGCACATTATCTCGCACTTGATTTATTTTGTCCTTTTTTTCTTCAAAAGCCACTCAGGTATCTTACAAATTTATGGACGCCAAGTGGAAAGTCCTTTTCACAAGGGTACAGCAGCTTCATTGTCTGAGATTTGAACCAGTGAAGATGCACACAAAAAGCGAGTTTGCCTTACGCTCCTCGGTCTTCATGGAGAAGAAACAAAAGTAAAGTCCCCGTAAAGCCGGCTGCTTCAAAACAGAGTGTCTGAGAAAAGCCTTTGTTCTAATTAATTACTCCAGCCTCACACACGCTGTTAGCTTGTTATTTAATCTCATCTCCTTTTTATAAATTTATCATCCAGAGGGGAATTCTCCAGCATGTTCGACAGCTAGAAAGAGAAGTTATCTCCATACCATCAAACAAAGGTTTTTGATCTCAGAAGAAAACACCTCGAGAGACCTCCTGGAAGAGAATCTCGGCAGAAGATTCAGGATAAATTCATGCATGATAAAAACAAAAATTAAAACACAAAGCAGTATTGCAAAAAATAAGAGCATATAACATCTGCAAAATAAGACCCATATACATTTGTGATGACATTAGGCCCAAAATTTCAATGAAAACTCATTAGATCCCGTACTTAATTAGCAGAGAACATTCCACGGCCAATGAATAAATTTGCAAAATCATTTGATGGAGAGGTTTGAGCAAAAGGAGTCATTAAGATGATAACACTGTCACAATAAATGTCATCCTGCACTTTAACTCTCCCCAATATGAAATGGAAAACACAAATTTTACGGTTTTTGTTAAAGAGATAAAGGCTAAAAAGCAAAATCAGTAAAATGCGCCAATATTTCGCTTTCTCAAGCCTATCAAAAATGAAAGGGTTAATATGCATCTTGACACACGGGTACTTATGTCTGACAAAACACATTTCAATTTGTAATTCATGCCCTCATAAGCCAACATATAAATTTTAAATAGCCAATAGCTAAAATAGCTAAGAACAGTTTTTTCGCACATGATGATCCATATTTTTCTATAATTAATCATATATATCAGTAACAAAGATGACAAATTTTCTGTCCAATGAGCTCTTGTACTGATTTGGTGAGTTGTAAGAAATTCTAGTTTTGGTTTTTGATGGAACCTGTTTCCCGAGCCTGCTTCCTTAGCCCGTTTCCTGAGCCTGCTTCCCCTACCTTTTTCCTGACCCTGCTTTCCCAGCCTTTTTCCTGAGTCTGCTTCCCCTACCTTTTTCCTGAGCCTGCTTCCCCTACATTTTTCCTGAGCCTGCTTTCCCAGCCTTTTTCCTGAGTCTGCTTCCCCTACCTTTTTCCTGAGCCTGCTTTCCCAGCCTTTTTCCTGAGCCTGCTTCCCTGGCCTTTTTCCTGAGCCTGCTTCCCTGGCCTGTTTCCCGAGCCTGCTTCCTCAGCCTGTTTCTTGATCCTACTTCTGCAGCCTGCTTCCTCAGTCAATTTTCTGAGCCTGCTTCCCAAGCCTGCTTTCTCAGCCTGTTTCTTGATCCCATTTCCACAGCCTGCTTCCTCAGTCTGTTTCCTGAGCCTGCTTCCCCGGCTTGCTTCCCCAGCCTTTTTCCTGAGCCTACTTCCCCACACTCTGCTTCTTCAGCCTGCTCCTGCACACACTCTATGGTGAGGGCCATACCTGTCAGAGAGCAGGAAGGGACAGATGTCAGGCACCGGCGGGGTCAGAGGTCGCAGTTTGGCCAGGGCCATAATGTGCTCGAACGTGATGTCTGTCTGGGTGCACACGTCCACCACGTGGACTTCCTGAGAGGTGCCATTGCCCCTGGCGACGGGACTCCGGCGTAGCACCTGGACCACGATGGGGTCCTTGGCAGAGTGGAACATCTCCGCGGACTCATCATGACTGCCCTTGGAGAGGTCCTTCCCATTCACCTGTACGGAGAAAACACACGTCACATCAACACACAAGGACTATAAAGCTGTAGCTAAATTGAAAAGGCCAATGGGGAACTGGGCCTCTTTGAATATTCTTAAAATGCACAATCAGAACTGATGTGCGAATGTAGGTGTGATTGTGTGTTGCTTTACATGTAGGTCGTCTGTATTTGCGTTTGATTGTCATTTGAGTAACTGCATTGTTTATTTCAGCTGTGCATTAGTGAGCAAATGGTGCCATGGGAACCAATCACTGTGCAGCAAAGTGCATGGCTGACCAGAAAGAAACTGAAGGAAGAATGAAGATCGAAGTTGTGAAAGCGATGATAAGGACAGTACATTCAGAATGTAACAAAATGCATTTCCAAATCTGAGTATAAGTTACCATACAAGTGCTGAGATTCCATCTGCAGGATCTCTAGGATTACCAGCAACTACTGCTAAATGTTAACAGGAAAGCACTCGCATGTGGCTGCTAATGGGAAGAATCCCATTGGCTGTCGGTTCCTAAGGAAGATACTGGAGACTCGTAAGCTGCCATAGGCATCCCCTGCCAGCGTGCTGCCTGGCAATTACAGGGCAGTGACGGCTGGTCCTGAAGGAACGGGCAGATAGGTCATCCAGATCCGCGCCGGGATCTTTCAGGGCAGGCGTCCAGCAATAAATAAGCGCTAATTCCCTGTGCTCAGGTGTAAAGGTGACCTTTGCGAGAGGGATGTCGCATTAATCACCAGCCAGGGGCGCCGTCCGGAGCACCGGCAGCATGCCACGGCAGCATGCCACGGCGGGGAAGCGATAAATAGGGCAGGTGCCACAGAAATAGGCAAACAAACACGTGAGCAGACTTCCTACACTTGGATTCTCTGAGCACCGTCTATGGCGGAACATCTTAAAGGGGAAAAACAAAAACTGAAAAATTAAAGAGATTCTCTAAGCCCTGTAAAGACAAAAAAGGGAAAACAAGCCTATAAATGTAGAAATTGCAGATCAAAAAGAAGATCATAGATTACTGAAGCCTCTTGATCATGGCTGAGTCAGACGGAGGGTCTTGCCATCACCGGTTTGGATTGGACATTATTGGACTGAGCTAATTTCAGCGAACAGAAATCTGAAGTTAAATATACTGACCCTCGTGTGCTACAGTATGTCTCTTGCCTGCAGAACCCAATCCTGACACTGAGAGACTGGAAACAAAGAAGCTGGATTTGATAAAGGAGCCTGTCCACAGCTGAAAACACTCTCAGAAAACAAAGGCTTAAAAGAAGCAGGGCCAACTCATGGAGCGGGAGAGGAGTCCAAAGCAGCGCCATCTGGATTAAAGAGCCGGCCATGAACAATGGGCTAGAAGACTGACGCTAAGATAGGCGCTTGCTAGTAGACTGACGCTAAGATAGGCGCTTAGGGCCATGGTGGGGGCACGTGCAGGCTGTTGGCAGTCCCGCATGACCCACAAATTAATGTCCGCCAGATGGAAGTAGAGCAGGGCTCCTCAGATTTGGTCATGACCAGAAGCTATGGGTCACAGACTAGCATGATTTCATCTGGTAGAGTGAAAGGACAGACCAATAAATGCACTCACTCATAATCAATGCCTTAACCCGCTCTCAGCAGCATACTGTCATGGGGATGATGGCACAGATGCACGGACACCGGGCGGCACCAACCGGCACCGACCGACACAGACTGGAACCAACCAGCACCGACTGCGTCATTAAGACAGAGAACGTCACAGAGGCTGCTGGCTGCTGTCCTCGCTGTCTCCCATGCCAATGTGTACTGGGACAGCTCCCGGCTCTGATCACCCTACTATCCCATAATTCTGAACCTGTTTCCTCTCTTATTCCCCCCCCAACCCGGTCTCTTGCATGAATGTAACATTCACACAAACTCGGTATCTCCAGAATCTCCTTGACATTGCTGTTCAGTTACCACATGGTCAAAAAAACCTGATGCCAATTATTAGCATAAAGTCCTTGTAGGTGTATTGCTACTGGGCTCACGGACGCTCACAGGTAAACAAATATTGACCATATTGGGTAGAGTGAGCAAACACAGGCAACATAAATATTTAGGCCAGCAACAGGCAGTCTATCCACTCCTGACAATCTGTCTCCTCTCCCCCGGCTTGGTTTGCAGCAGACCATCGCCAGAAGAGTTTCTGTATACTTTGGAGACGGAACAAGAGGGGGGCGGGCTCCTGTCCATCCGCTGGTTGTTTGCTGAGCCTGGGCGACACGGAGTAGGGCCACTGGCATCTGTGCTGTCATCCTGCCTTATCCACAGAAGAAGAGCAACATACCTTCTGCCTTTTGCGCACGGCTCAGGAAGTGGTCTGACCCATGTGGCCATTGACTGTGGGCGTTCTGCAATAACGCTGAATGGGGACTCTGATCAGTCCATTAACATACTACGGGTGCTATTTGCTTCACAGGCTGCATCGACTGGACTAGAGTGGAGACTCATCACATTGGAATTTACTTGAATTCTACCCGAAGAGGAACCTGCAGCCACAAACACACACACAGCAGAGAGCTTGGCCAGCCTGCGCATTCAGCCACTGATTTATAATCGCCTGCAGGTGATTTATGTCCCACCGTAAGTGGAGATGACTGCAGTGCAATCAAGTCTGGGCAATAGGGTCTAATACACCATTAACTACTTCATGATGCAGGATTAACCATGTACGTGATTTTACAGCCTCTTAGCATTAAAACGTGCACTAATTGAATGTTTGTGTTTATAATGCAGTGGAGGCTGCGGCTTCCTCGTGTTTTAGGTAGTCATAAATGACATGGACCTCAATGCTCTCTTCAAGGTTAATCTACCAACATAAACAGAGTAGAGTAAACAATTCTGTCCCGCGGCCTATTACAACCTGCACAGGGCAGAAGGCGGGGGGCACTGTGGGTAGGATGCCAGTCTACCAGAGGGCACAGAAACACTCACAGGCTATGAGCAGCTCAGAGATGCCAGTTAGGCTAAGCGCGCATCTCCATGGCATTGGGGAGAACTAGCAAACTCCACACACACAGCGGGATCCCAACCCCCAGACCTGAAGGTGTCCGGCCCACCTAGAAAAAGGTTTCCCTTTTTAGACTCAGTTAGCCTGCCCTGCCCCACACTCAACCCATCTGCAGTACTGCCACTAGTATCCAAGCTGCCAAAGTTTCAATAAAAAACACTGTGAAGCAAAAAATAAAATAAACTGTGACTTTAATACACACGTTTCCAACCATTAAAAAACATTATCCTGACATAAAGTCACTACAATAAAAAATATTGATAACATGTTAGCATTTCAATATGGCCGCTAAGGGAAAGATGCGCTTCTTGAATGTTTACATGAATAATATAACACTCAGCACACAAAGCATGCTGATCTCGGTATTCACATCTCTGTAAGAATCCAAAGACTGACACCTTCATAGTTTTCAGGCTAATTTTAGTCTCGAAAGAAGCTAAAATGCTCAGAAATAGAAAAACCTACAGTTACCCCTGAATATATAGCATCTGTGATGCCATCAGTTTTCACCAGCGGATTTCGGCAAGTAGACTGTGCCTGCACACCATTCACAGCGGAATGTGTTCCTGTGTTTTAAGCATTTTACAGTATTTCAGGAAGGTCCGATCGTTAGCACAATTTTTGAAGAGGGCACAAGCAAACACAAGACGATGTTTCACAAAAGTGAGAATCAGCAGGTAACATGCCGCTCTGAAGCCGCTGAAAGAATATTTTTATTTAATATTTATTTTCAAAAATAAGTTATTCTTAAAATAACTGAAAACATTTAAGCAAAACTAATTTAAAACATATAGCTGCAATTTCACGCATCCGTAAAACTAAACTGGCCCCTTTTTGAACACTTGAAAACACTAGGCTGTGGTTGAGACTAATCGTGAGTCCTGGTGTAAAGTGACAGTGTACCTGGTGAGCCAGTGTGCTGCCCTTCACAAAGCCAGTCGCAGAAGTTCACACCAATATATCTTATAAAATGGAATGTGAAGCAGAGCCGACCGCACTGGAAAAGGTGAGTCCCCCTCATCACCATTTCGTCGCAAGGGTGCATGTGACCGAAGCTGTGATGGAACGGCAGTGGCTGCGGAAAAGGTGCGGGCTGCAGGAAATGGGGAAGGCTACAGCGAGCTGAGGGACAGCAGAGCGGCATGTCACACACGAGCAGGAACAAGGACGGCATGTAGGTCAGCCTTCCGCGGGGGCGAGCCAGCGAGAGCCACCGGCCACAGCCCCCCCAGCCCCCCCTCGCTAATAAACAGGTGGGACGTGCCGGCGGCGATACGGCCCAGCCGCTGCGAGCGGGAGGACAGGCGGCGTCATGGAGACGGGGCGCGAGTCTCAGCAGCTGCTGGCGTAGATATAGGATGGGAGGGAAATCGCTAGCAGATCAGGTGAAGAGGTGTGTGTGTGTGTGTGGGGGGGGGGGGATAATCAGGGGAGCCTGAGACGGACACAAGCCATGCTTGTAGGTTTTGGTCCTGAGGCAGCTCTTTAAGGGACTGAGGGACAGCAGAGCGGCATGTCACACACGAGCAGGAACAAGGACGGCATGTACTACAAAACAAACAGTCACGTCACTCAGCCGACAGTTTACCAATCCGCATGGAGTCTGGCCCTTGCAGAAGCTCGCCACCGATCCATGTAGCGCATCTCTCTACTACCGGTCTACCACATCAGTGGCAGTAACACAGTCTTACCCGCATGTAGATACCTCTACACCACAGCATAGTCAAGATAACACTAAGGAACCCCCCCCCCCCCCAAAAAAAAGCAGTGACGCCCACAGCTGGCATTTGATGCAGGTGGCTTTGGATCATGCACAGAGCAAGATTGCAACAAGAAGGTGTGAGCCAGTGTGTGGCCCAGATGGTTGGGACACTGCATCTGTGATCAGAAGGTCGCTAGTTCAAACTGCATGATTGACAAAGTGACATCACCTGTGGCTCCTAAGCGTGGCCCTTAAACACTAATCGCTCCAGGG